TTCAGGTGAAGTTAAGAGGGCGCCAACTGAAGCCACTGGAAAACCCCGACATGGAAATCATTGAAGGGTAAGCGCATCCCTGCCTCTTTGAACGCAAATTCATACATGGGGAAGCGTTTGTCCGAGTATGTTGAGCATATTCTCCGATTACGATGAGGAATTTGAAGCATCCAGTTAGCAGGGGCCTCTTCCGCCCGTTCCTCTGGAAAATTAAATGCGTCTGTAGCGTCCTGAGAAAAGCACGACCATTTACTTCGAGGCTCAGGAGTGACCCAAGCCAAAGGGTTCTCATCACCGTGCAGCACGTCTTCATAGTTGGCGGCCGAAACGTCTGAGTGAGCCATTATACCTGAAAAGCAGGGGAAATAGTGAATTCGACATTATCAAATCCACCCTTCCATCACAGATCAAGTGAAAGAGCGACGAACTCGACCCAAGCCCTCGACTACACGCAAAAGTGAACTATGCTTTCGTTGAGAGATTACGTTGTTGGGGGGATATTCACTCAACGAGCAAGAAGCCCGAGTTAACCCCCGTTACTCGGGGAGAACGCCCCTCGTATCAAGGCCAATATTCGGGGAGATCTCCCCGACCTCATACCTAACGAATATCAATGAATGTTCATGAGTGTTCATCGAAGAACTCATGAACTTCAATGAACATTCATGAGTGTTCATCATAGAACTCATGAAAATTCATCCAGTCAAGGCACATTTTAGACATTTCAATCCAGAAACGTTGAAGAAACGTGGTGTTAAGAGGTTGTAACTTACTTGGATGAAGAACTCAAAGAAAAAATATGGGCAAGTTGGGAGGATTGCTTCACACAACAAGCAAGAGAAGTTGAAAGGAAACTTGAGAAGATGACAAATGAGACCCAGGGCCCCCCTTTTATAGGTGACTCACGCTCCACGAGGTCCATCAGGAAAGGTCATCATTTGATTGGGCCTTTTGGGTTTCCCCTTGAAGGAGTGGCACCCTAAGGCATTAGCCATGTGGCTCAACAGTCAACTACATGTTCCTTCTAGATCAACGAGCATATCCCTGACTCCAAGGCATAATTCCCATACAGGCACGAGGCAGGTACCCCCCCCCCCCCCCCCCCCCGCGAGGGAATGCTCGACAATATGGCGCGTGCACGGGAACATCCATTCAGCTACCTCAAAAACAAAATAATGCTCGACACTTCAAAGACTGACACGTCGAAAGAGCTCTCGTGGAGGCTCCCAGTAACTAATACGAGCCTCTCGAGCAAGCGACTGACCCCTTCGGGCTCACTGCTCGTTCGCCCATCTTGTCCCCAACACACTTGAACAAATTATCCCCGCTGGGCAACAACTCGATCCATTTAGAGGACTCTGACCGTCCTCCTTGATCAAGTCTCCGACCCTGAGAGCTGAACTTAAGTCATCGCCCTTTCGCTCAAGGGCAATAACTTAGGGGGCTCCTGATCTGGATTGGGCCCACACTTGTCCCTCGAATAGGAAGCCCAAAAACAAACAACTCAAGTTAGGGACCGTTAGGTAACTCCCCACATATTTGTTGGGGGACGTGGCCCACGTCCTCATGACAGTCATCTTAACTGCCCTCCAAGAATCACGGATCCAACCCTATTCTCGCGGAGCAGTTGACCAGGGGAGAGTTCACTTGCTGGACTCCATACATACGTAAGCCTTGGCATTTTCTATTATTGGGCCTCAACGTGACCCAATAATGAGGACCTTGGCCCAACACTGGGGGTTATAAATACCCTCTCTTTTGAGAGGGTCAGGTATTCAATATTTTCCAACTCTTACGCTTGTTTGTTCATTCCGCAACTTACTTTGTCATCGGAGTGTCTTGCAAATACCTCCTATCTCATTCAACTTCTGCCCGAACCAGCTATGACGGTCCATTCTAATTCGGTAAAATCAATTTTAAATTTACTTATATGATATTGTAGAATGATGACTTTTTATATGTAAATGTAAAATTATTTTACATAGCTCGTACATATCCATTTAACTCTATTTAAAATAATATTAAAGTAATAATTATACTTTTATTAAATTTATTAATCATGGTGTATTATCATTGCGATTAATAGATAATAACCGGAAAATAAACTTGGAAATAACTTATTAATCAAATGATGTAAATAAAAAAAGTAATTGAAATTATACAATCATTCTTTTAAAATGAGTATCATTTTAGAAAAATATATTAATATAATAATAATAATAATAATAATAATTGTTTCAATTATATCTTTTAATTATTACGGTATATATTATTTCTAACAAATTAATAAAGTTAACTTAATAAAAATAAAGTGTTTTATGAAAAATATTATTATATTGTTTAATTTATGTGTAAAAACTTTAAACATCAATTATTTAAAAATGAATAGAGTATTAAAAAGGGAAAAATATTAATATGCGACATAAAAACATATGTTAATAAATTATTTATATTTTTTAAAATTTTAAATACAATTTTATTACATTTAAAGTTTTCTAATTAATATTTTTAACATGTGTTTTTAAAACACATGGATATACATGTTAGTCCGAGTTTGAAAAAATTAAAATTAACAATTTTATAAATCAAAAGATATACACATAGAAATAATATAAAATCTGTCTAAACCCAATTTCATAACGGTAGTCTGCACGTTACATTCATTTATTGATTCCACATTTTTACGTTACAAGACGACATTGATCAGTTGCTATAACCTATGCAACGTGAACAAAAATAACAATAACTACTCCTATTTTTATTTGAATCCACTCGAATTCATTAGAAAGTAAACATATCAATAGACAAATCAAAAATTGGTCAGTTTAAATCAGAATACTATACTTTCTCGGTTTCTAAAATATAAGAAAAAAAAATAAAAACACATTTATTAAGAAAACTAAAAATATAATAATTTGACTTGTGATTTTTATTAAAAAAATATATAAAAAAATGTAAAAATAATTTTAATTGATTATTGGTTATAGAAAAAATAAAAAAGAAATTAAATTACATGTAATTTATATTTAATTTTTATTTTAGAAATAATGAAAGCTGATTTTTTTCTCATACTTTAGGACAATAAAAAAAATATTATATTTTGAGACAGAAGGAGTAGTTTTATTTTGCAACTGGGGCTTAGCTCTTCTTAATAACTTACTTACACACATTAATTATGTTGGATTTAACTAGAAAAAAGAATCTTACATAACTTTGTGTGCAAATATAATTACAACAATTTTTCATATTATAATTTTGAGATATGTGACAGTGCCGATACTTAAATGTATTAAATTGATGCATTGGACAAATTGAACCGTTTGAGAAATGGTCAGAATTTTTTTATATCCAAACAGCAAAACATATGTTTGGAATTCATTCGGCATTACAGTTAATTCAAACTTAATTGGAGTTTATAGCTTTTATTTCAACTATATGTGAATATTTTTAAAAATAAATGATTTCATATTCAACTTATAAGTTATGTTTTCATACTATTTATTTTCGATATTTTTTATTTTCTAATATCATGAGCAAGTGAATCTTTGCTTAGAGTACAAAAACTCATATATATATATATATATATATATATATATATATATATATATATATATATATATATATATATATATATATATATATATATATATATATATATATATATATAGGATAATAAATATAATTTTGGTCGATTTTGTCATCCAAAAAAGAATAAATCACGTGCATAACTTGTTGATGGTTTGATTGCTATTTTTATATAAATTTCATTTTATTTTTTAAAAATTTTAAAACAAAGTAAAATAAAATTTTTATTTTAACTAAATCGAGTAGGGAGAAATATGATGGTAAAAATTAGAATTAAATGAAATTCATATCACTTTATTCTCCCTTAAAAAATACAATACCATTTTATTCCATTACTAAGCACCATTATAAGTCAATTTTTCTCGATACAAAACCCAAATACACAAAAATTACATTTGTGTGAATCCAAATATTGAGTCCAACAGTCTCCCTTTTATACACATTAATTTTTTAATCCAAGAATTTGATGCCACACACTTCTTCTATGAGCAAAATATAAGCTCCATTAGTAAAAAGACATAACAAAAATTCAAGATCCAAAAAAACTCAATGATTAATTTTCAAATTGATCTAGATCTTTGCTTACTTTTCTCTCTCAAAGATGCAAAATGTTAATAGCTTTATTGCATAATTTCCGGGTGTTGATAACATCATGTCACATGTTAATAAAACTTGCATGAAGTGGTGAGACCCATAAAAATTTCTAAATTTCATCTAATAAGAGTACGTGTTAAAAAAATTGAAAAGAAAGTGCTCTTAATACTTTAATTGAAATTTGTATGAATTTCAACAAATTGTATGACGTCCGCTTAAATTTGATTGAATCTATATGAATTTAAAATGATAAAAAATACAATGTAAATTAGAATTATTCTTTATCATAAAAAATCAAATATTCATGATGCATAATACTGAAAATGTATTATATTCACTTTTTCTCCCCTGAAAAACAAATGCAAAAGGCATTTTGGAATAACTTTTGTCAAGAGAGGCGACTTAGCAGGGCTGCTACCAGGAGGAAATGACATAGGAATAGGACATAGTACATTACCTTACCTTCTCTAATAATCATTCTTTTTTGTCAACATGCTGATACATATTTTAATAACTAGTTGGGACTGATTCTAATGAAGTAAGAATAAGTAATGGGAGAGAAGTGGCCAGCTGGGAAACATAAACTAATGTTAATATATCTAAATGAAACTAATTGAATATTTGAATTAGTCCTTCATGATGGCTACACCTTAACAATTCAAACATGTTATAAATACTATGTCTTTCATTCAGCTTTTCACAGTAATCACTAACACCAATATCTCTTCTTTCTTTCTATCTTTTCCTCTTCTTCTAACAACATTTGTGAAGATATCTAAAAACATAAGAATTGGAGTTGGCAAGTTTATTTCTTTCTACCCATGACAGCTATGGCCAGTAGCCCTAGAAGGGGTCATAACTGGCCCCAAATGGCAATGGCATTGGCCATTGTTTTGATTTCTACTACTGTGACTTCTGCTGCTGCAGATAGTTATATTTACTCTTCACCTCCACCACCTTATGAGAACAACTCACCACCACCACCTTCACCATCACCACCACCACCTTATGTGTACAAGTCACCACCTCCTCCACCATATGAGCATAAGACACCGTCTTATGTGTACAAATCACCACCTCCTCCATTTCCATCACCACCACCTCCCTATGTATACAAGTCACCACCTCCACCATCCCCATCACCACCACCTCCTTATGTATACAAGTCACCACCTCCACCACCATATGAACACAAGGCCCCATCATATGTGTACAAGTCACCACCTCCTCCATCTCCATCACCACCACCTCCTTATGTGTACAAGTCACCACCTCCACCACCATATGAACACAAGGCTCCATCATATGTGTACAAGTCACCACCTCCTCCATCTCCATCACCACCACCTCCTTATGTGTACAAGTCACCACCTCCACCACCATATGAACACAAGGCTCCACCATATGTGTACAAGTCACCACCTCCTCCATCTCCATCACCACCACCTCCTTATGTGTACAAGTCACCACCTCCCCCATCTTCATCACCTCCACCACCATACTATTACAAGAGTCCTCCACCACCCTCTCCCTCACCTCCACCTCCCTACTACTACAAATCTCCTCCACCACCCTCACCTTCACCTCCCCTACCATACTATTATAAGTCTCCACCACCACCACCTCCCTCACCACCACCTCCATATTACTACAAATCTCCCCCACCACCCTCACCCTCCCCTCCTCCACCATACTACTACAAGTCTCCTCCACCACCATATATTCACAAGGATCCACCATACTATTACAAGTCTCCACCACCACCTTCACCATCTCCCCCACCACCCTACTACTACAAATCTCCCCCACCACCTTCACCATCTCCCCCACCACCGTACTACTACAAATCTCCTCCTCCTCCATCTTCTACTCCTCATACCCCATACTACTACAAATCTCCTCCCCCTCCATCTCCTATTCCCCATACACCATACTACTACAAGTCTCCCCCACCACCCAAGGTCCTTCCACCACCATACTATTATAACTCTCCTCCTCCACCTGTTGCGTATCCTCACCCACATCCATACCACCACTCATTGATTGTGAAGGTAATCGGTAAAGTCTACAGTTTCAGGTGTTATGACTGGGAGCATCCTGAAAAATCTCATGACAAGAAACATCTCAAAGGTACATTACATTACTAAGGATTAGACTTCTTTAGAGTACTGAGTTTAGAGTATTTTTAACTATTTGTATGTAAATTTTTTTTTTTAAGTTAATTTTAATTAAAACAACATTACTATGGTTTTAATCATCAATGTTTTTGAAGAAAATAAAATACAATCTATTTTGTTTTATGATATATATATATATATATATATATATATATATATATATATATATATATATATATATATATATATATAAAATTTAATTTCTATGCATAATACAAAACATAAGTCACTAAGATACGACCTCATAAAATTAATTTTGACAAGTATTCTTTAACATACTGCTCTTAAAGCTCTTTTAATAATATTGTCCTTTATAATAAGTGTCTTCATATTTTACTTAAATTAATTTTGTTTTTGGGACAGGTGTTGTTGTTGAGGTGACATGCAAAGCTGGGGACAAAATCATTAAGGCTTATGGTAAAACTAAGATCAACGGAAAGTACAGCATCACAGTTGAGGACTTTGACTATGTCAAATATGGCGCCACAGTGTGCAAGGCTAGCCTTTATGCTCCACCTAAATACTCCCCTTTTAACATACCTACTAAGCTAAACGAAGGAACTAAATTGTACTTGTATTCCAAAGACAAGTATGAGGTTGTGCTCAAGGCTAAGTCATTTGCTTATGCTTCAAAGAAACATTTTAAAGAATGTCAGAAGCCCAAGCCTTCACCAACTCCGTACTACTACAAATCACCACCACCTCCCACACCAGTTTACAAGTACAAATCTCCACCTCCACCGGTCCATTATTACTCACCTCCATATTACTACAAGTCACCTCCTCCACCTGTAAAATCGCCACCAACTCCTTACTACTACAAATCACCTCCACCTCCCTCACCGGTTTACAAGCACAACTCACCACCTCCACCAGTTTACAAGTACAAATCGCCTCCTCCTCCGGTCCATTATCCCTCACCGATTTACAAGTACAACTCACCACCTCCACCGGCTTACAAGTACAACTCACCACCTCCCCCAGTCCATTATTATTCTCCTCCATATTACTACAAGTCGCCACCACCTCCCTCTCCGGTTTACAAATACAACTCTCCACCTCCACCGATCCATCATGATTCTCCCCCATATTACTACAAGTCACCTCCACCCCCCTCACCGATTTACAAGTACAACTCACCACCTCCACCGGTTCACAAGTACAAATCCCCTCCTCCCCCTGTCCACTATCCATCACCAATTTACAAGTACAATTCACCACCTCCCCCAGTCCATTATTATTCTCCTCCATATTACTATAAGTCACCTCCACCCCCCTCTCCGGTTTATAAATACAACTCACCACCTCCACCAGTTCATCATGATTCTCCCCCATATTACTACAAGTCACCTCCACCACCCTCACCGATTTATAAGTACAACTCACCACCTCCACCAGTTTACAAGTATAATTCACCACCTCCGCCAATACATTATTATTCTCCTCCATATTACTACAAGTCTCCTCCGCCTCCCTCTCCAGTTTACAAATACAACTCACCACCTCCACCGGTCCATCATGATTCTCCCCCATATTACTACAAGTCACCTCCACCACCCTCACCGGTTTACAAGTACAACTCACCACCTCCACCGATTTACAAGTACAAGTCGCCTCCTCCCCCAGTCCATTATCCCTCGCCGGTTTACAAGTACAACTCGCCACCACCTCCATATTATTACAAGTCCCCACCTCCACCATCCCCATCTCCTCCTCCACCATACTATTATAAGTCTCCACCACCACCATCACCATCTCCACCACCACCTTACTATTATAAGTCACCACCTCCACCTAAGGAGATTTCAAACCCACCATACTACTATAAGTCACCACCACCACCATCACCTTCCCCTCCTCCACCATACATTTATAAGTCCCCACCTCCACCATCACCATCCCCACCCCCTCCATACTATTACAAATCTCCTCCACCACCATCACCATCTCCACCCCCTCCCTACTATTACAAATCACCTCCACCACCCTCACCATCACCGCCACCTCCTTACTATTACAAATCTCCCCCACCTCCATCTCCATCACCACCACCTCCTTATCACTATCAAAGTCCTCCTCCACCATCTCCCATTTCTCATCCTCCCTACTACTACAAATCCCCACCACCACCATCGCCATCTCCTCCACCTCCTTACCATTATGTGAGTCCTCCCCCACCAGTAAAGTCACCTCCACCACCAACTTATATCTATGCTTCACCACCACCACCCATCTACAACTAAGTTCAAACTGCACAAGCACCATAAATGATAAATCATGTAAGTTTATCATTTTTATTGTTATTAGTTTGTGTTTGTGAGTCTGTTATATACCTGATAATAATCAAAATTCCTATTCTTATTTGTTTTCAGGCTCCAGTTTTCATCTAGGAATAAAGTCAATCTGCATTTGGAGCAAAGTGAAACTTCCAGCTTCATGTCTAAATTCCTTAAATAAATGTCTGGATATATCATCTTTGAGTTACAATATTTGTTATCCAGACAATAATTATTGTATTTCTTTGGTGGCAATCTTGCACTTCCTTGTCTTATTCTATTCAAGGGATAGACAAATCAAAAGGGAGAAGTGAGATTAGTTTATTTTGATTTCTTTGATTTATTTGTGTATAGATCAATATGGATGTGTATTATAGTTTTTTATTTATGGAAGAATTTTTTATTGTAACCAACTATTGTGTTTGCCAAAAGTTGTTATCAAATAAGAATCCCATTCAACTTCTGTCAATTATTATTTGTTTCTTTCTAACAACTACAATGTGATTTATTTCAAACAATGAAGTAAGAACCATTCCCCTCCATATTCCTTTCTTTTCTTTTATCATGAATTTCTCATTCATATAAGATGGTATCAGAGCACACCTAGTTCATTACCGTTAGAAACATTAGATCCCTGATTGAAGAGATCATTAAGTTTTAGGGTTTCTACAAAGTTTTGATAAAGGGTTCAAATATTACATTCTCATGTTTTTCAATGTTTGATATAATTATTCTCAAGTATTATTTATTCTAAGGAATAGAATTTACTCATGTGTTTCTCTATTTTAAATTTTAATAATGGAGGTTGAGAATCTTTTGTTACCTTGACAATAAAAATAACTAACAACTTCCCATAATAAATTTTTTTTGACAATAGAAATTTTCAGAAACAGTCCACAAGTCCTAACTCTACTATCAGAATTCGATATTGCTAGGCTGGACGTCATCATTGGATTTCGAACTTTGATACTCGCAGCTGTGTATGTGAGCTTTTAATGGCTATTACCACTTCATCTACAGGAGAAAAAAATTTGTCAGAAACATCATTACTAAGAATATAATTCTATACCAAGAGTAAAGCTTATGCATTGATACATGACAAAACTATTCCATATCCTAACACAATCTTACTTTCACAAAATAACGACCCCACATAAGATTAACAATTTGGGTTAAGATAACTTGGGTCTGAAAAAATGGTATAACCTTACACCACCAAGAACTGATGATTTTAAGATCATAGAAGTTGGTGGAATGGTCATCCATATCCATATAACTTTAACATAAGTAACTGTCCAAAAAGGAAAAAGTTGTATTCTTTATTCTCAATGTGATGTGATTTACTCTTATCTTATCTTCTCAACATTTTAAGAATCCAATGGTACTCTGATAGAAAAGAGGTCGGATATAATATAATGGAGAGAATTATTTTATTAATGAATATGAAAATAGAATGTTCCAGAGCTACTACTCCTCAGTCAGAGAAAACATTTCTCTCACTACCCAAATCCTAATCTGAAAAAATGGCCCAATAATAATAATCCTAGTTACTGCCCCATATACTCCTATTTATATTGGGATTACTAACTACTGGGACAATTACTTCCTTTTCTTATTCTTTCTCACATATACCCTCCACTATTTAGGCCCCACATTATCCCTATTAACTAACACAGCCCCATGATCACTTATGGGGTCCGATCCATTCCTATCATCACCCCCACCTACAACATTAGCCTTGTCCTCGAGGCGCAGATAAGGGAATTGGCTTTTCAACAATAGTTCCTCTTCCCAAGTAGAATCTCCAACATCCATCCATTCCCATTGAATTAACCATTGTCTCTTATGCTATCCACCACCAAACTTGTCCCTCCATGACAAAACCTTAGCCAAAGTAATGTCCCCTTTTTCTGACTCTAAAGTGATAAGTAACTGAGTTGTAGCAGTATGGTTGCCCACCTCTTTATTCAATTTCTAAATATGAAAAGTAGGATGTATTTTAGATGTTTGTGGTAACTTTAATTTATAAGCAACCTTCCTTATCTTCTTCATGATTTGATAAGGTCCAAAAAATCTGGGGTCTAGTTTTTGATTGATTCTTCACACAACAGATTGTTGTCAATGAGGATGTTATTTGAGGAAAACCCAATCATCAACTTCAAATTGAATTTCCTTGTGTCTCTTGTCAGCTTGGTATTTCATATACTCCTGGGATTTGAGTAAATTAGCTTTCATTTGACGCAACACCTCATCTCTGTCTCTTAACTCCTGCGCTACAACTTCTACTCTGGTTTCGCCCTCCAAAAAATGCACCAACACTGTGTTTACCTCTGGTTTTGGAAAACAACGCTGGTCTCTTAACAAAAAGTTTACTGGAGAGATCGACTAGCGAATCTCAGTACAATGCTTTAGTTGTCATGTGTTTTTCATAAAGTATATTCAAAAGGGTTCGTTCGACTAAGGCGAAACGAATTTAAAAGCAATAAAGCAGGACTTGTAAAATAAAACAAAAGACGTTTTAAACTGTAAAAATAGATGACATAACATCAAAATAGTTAAAAATGGGTTGATTCAAACATACATTACCCTAGCTTGACTCATTTCGCTCGTTTTCTTGGGTACTCTGAGTGACTAGCGTGTAGCGTTGTGAAAGTTTGAACCCTTAACACTATGCACTAAGTGCTTTATTTATAATACACAGAAATAACTACTTTCTAGTGGACTTCGCTTCTTTGTACGCCACATGTCTCTTGTAACTTCTCTCCATGATCCCATGTTCTCCATCCCTGCTATCGAACCCACATTATCCATTCCTACCGTTGAATCCATGTTCTCCATCCATAACACCTTGCTTTGCTAGTTACACACTCTTTGGGATTTTTAATGTTCTTGGGCCCAATTCATTTCTCATTAGGCCTATTTTCCGGTTGATTGCATCCACAAGCCTAATTGACTATTGTGAAATCTCTCTCGGTCGAATGCTTCTATAGTCGACTTTATATAATTTAAAGTTCTCCAAGAACCCTTTTGGCTTTTGGTTAGATTTTAATTTGTGTGAAAATCCTAGCCAACAAATTTCCCCCCAAAATGTTCTTTTCGACTAAAAGGGCAGAAATGGACATTTTAATCCAGTTCTCTTAGTGCGAAGTGACATCATTGTAATCATGACCTTTTTCTTCAAATGTTACATCTGCAATCACACAACCACTTCCCTACTTTCTAGCTTTAACTTCCAAGGATAAACGTGGCTTCCAACTTACCAACTTCTTCAATCAATCGCCACCTTCCTGACATGTGCCAGTCGTGTAGCCACATTTTCTTCAACTTTCTTCGCAAACATTTGGTTTCCCTGATGGTATAAATACTTCTTTCATCTCTTCAATTTCCTTTTTACGTTTCTGTAATACGGTGGGAAACTGACTTTTGGTTTTGCATTTTATCGCACATGTTAAGGATAACAAGAGTCGCCACCGAATTTTCTTTTATCCAATAAAGGAAAGGATGAAAAGAAAAGGAAAGACCTTCGAGAATTTTCTGAGTTCGGGGGGTAGGTTATGAAAAGGGAAAGTGTTAGCACCCTTTTCATCTGTAGTTATCTACGAGCTCTTAATCGCTAGCTCACTTTTGTTTGCAATGCTTTGTGTGTGTATGTTTGAAAATAATTTGAAAATTCCTAAGTATGGCGAATTTGTAATGATTCTTGTATCGGTTAAGAATGCATACACAGTGTTTAGTTTGGAAAATATTTCAGGGAAAGAGTTTTTGAAAAAAATATGTTTTTTGTTTTGTTTATGTGAGCCAGTGATTAACAACATTCTACCCTTACTCAAGGATCTTTCATATTATTTTCCTCCTCCTTTAAATAGTTCTATCCTACCATTAGTTAGTAGGAAACCCTATCGTTGGATATGAAGGGACAAGCGTGTGCCATCATTATGGTCATAGAAGGCAACATATAGGGATACCTTAGCAATTCAAAGGGACTGTCATCATATATTCATAGGCAACATCGAGGGACAAGATCATTTCTCCTAGGAAACTCGAGGGACATCGCAGGACTATGATCTTTATGATGATTTTAACCGAGGGTCTTTGCTAAGGGTATCCCTATGTTCAAGGGACATGACCATTAGTTTTTCCGAAGGAAACAAGTAGAGTTACCTTAGAGGTGCGTGTGTGAAAAGGTGATCTAATTCAGTTATTTATCTTGTTTATTTAGGGTTAGCTATGATTGCTTTTAGACCTTTCCATACAATCCTATTAAACTAGATAGTTATAAGGAAAGCAATAAATGCAGAAAGTAAATGCAGAAATTAAAAGGGTCCTATGCTATTATAGAGCTTCGGTGAAGGGGGTACAAAACCATAAAACTAAGGGAAAATAGCAAACCCAAATTAAACTATTATAAACTGTAGCAGTTACATAATTGGAAAAAATAATACGAAAATAATATTTTGTGATTATTTTGATAAAAGAGTTTGATACTTAAACTAAAAAAACTAATTAGCTTTAATTAAAAAAAGTTAATTAGCTAATTAAATTAAACCAAACCATAAAAAAAATGTTGATTTTAATTAATTAAATCCTAAAAAAAACTAAGTTAAATTTGTAATAAATAATAAAACAAGTTAATTAATTAAAAAAGAAAATTAATTTAGTTAACTTAAATAAAAAACCTAAGTCTAAATTAATGTTAATTAGAAAAATAATTAAAATTATGTTTTTAAAAAAGAGTTAAAGCAAAAATAAAAAATTAAGATTGGACATGAAAGTAGTAAACAAGGGGTGTGGAAAGAAAATCATTAGGCCCAATACAACAAGCCCAGGTGCCTTTATTGGATCCAGGGCAAACAGATCCTGGAGATCTATGGTATGCACGCAGGTTCTGGCGCGTTGATCTAGACCTGATGAGATCCAAAGGTGCTATCGATAGGGTGCATCGTTGAGGTATGAGGGCGACTTCACTG